TCTGGGAAAGTCATTGCAATAAACTGGCATAAAAAGTGACAGGTCATGATGCTTAGTACTTTGCACAAGGGTGAAATGAAAGACAATGGGAAGGTGGACTTCAGAACTTAGGAGAAGATAATGAAGCCTGACTCTGTGATAGACTATAATGAATGTATGTATCTGATAGACAAAAGAGACGGCCAACTCAGTGCTGTAGAGTTCATTAGAAAAACTGTAAAATGGTATCACAAACTCTTCTTCCACACTCTAGACATCACCATCATCAATGCCTACAATAAGTTCCTATTTAGGATTGAAAATAAGAAAGTGAAGCTGAGGGAATTCCAGTACAATGTTGTCAACCAGTTGCTGGAAGAATATGGTGTCCCGACATCTTCAGAGTGAGGCTGACACACTACATGTGCCCCTGAGAGATTGAATGCTAGAAATTATATTGCTCATTACTTCCTGGACACAAGGATGTGGTCGGAAATAACAGCTGGAATTCTACATCTGTAAAAACACCACAAGGAGGGAAAGACGGAGGAAAACGGTGACAACAATGAGTGTGGGATCGTGTGTGGACCCATGTTATAGGGATTACTGCACCCTAAAGAACTACTGAGTATTCTGTGGTATGTTGTAAATAATGTAAATACCCTGTAACATAAACACAGAAAATAAGGAAATATAGTAAATACTAAGCATCTGTACTTCTTCCTACTTGCTGATCATGAGTCTCCATCAGTGGTTGCCATGTCTCCCTCCCTCACGTTCACAAGTGAGGGCCTGGCGCAACCTCCCGCCAGCCCCAAACCCACTTGCATCACAAATTCACCACAGCCAAACTAAGGTAAGTACAGTAATGGACTCATATTTGGTTTCCACATTCTTCTACATACTATCAATTAATCCACAAGAGTTAAAATGAAGTTCGGGCACTGGGGGTGGAATTGGCGAATCACTCTATCACAGTTTATGAAATTATTTTTGAAAAGTGCATAACTTGCAATAATGTTAAGCTAATCTTCAAGAGATGTCTCACTAAAACTGATTTAAGAGAAACCAATGTTAACTACTTTTTGATCAAGAAGACAAAACTAGTTTGCATAATCACCCAAGAAGTAGCAATAGAAAGTTATTGCAACAACAACAACAAAAATATATACTGTATATATATATATATATATATATATATATATATATATATATATATATATATATATATATATATATATATATATATATATATATATATATATATATATATATATATATATATATATATATATATATATATATATATATATATATATATATATATATATATATATATATATATATGATACTGCAATACAATTCTCCAAGAGGGTGAAAGTGGGTCTGACAAGCATAACAGCAAATTAGTGTAAAACAGACACAACACACTGTAAACAGTACTAATGTTCCAGTACAAATGGAGACAGTGTGACCTGCACTGCAATTGACCACTTTCACTTCCTCAAGTGTAAAGTTGGGTCAAATGGCAAGCACTTATATAAACTCTCTTACTAAATAAGTACACTGATATAAAGTGATCTTTTAAATATCATAAGAAAATAATACAGTATTGATATATACAAGAAAATTATTAGTAAAACAAATGACAATCCCTTATTTTCTATCATAGTTGCAATTAAGTGATAAAAAGCAATAAATACTTAAAAAATATATATAAATAGTCTGGAACTGATGTCTTATTATATACATACCAAGTTTGTTAAGAAAAATAAAAAATAAATAAAGATACAAACCTATTTCAAAACAAAACAAGAAAACGGGCAAAAATCAAGTAAGAGAATCACTAAAAAATAGAGCTCCAGTGAAATAACAGGGTATTGTAAGAACCAACAGTCACCTGTGTGTCTTGGGATAATGTATTTTATGTAAAAAAAAAAGAAGAAATAGAGGTAAATTTCATGTAAAAAATATTGACAAAGTCATATGCACCATACAAGTTAGTGTACAGCTTTGGGGTTTGTATAATCCACAATTCTTGCACTATAAACAAGTTGACAAAATGGTAGAAGAGGATAACTTGGGACCCTGTTAGTCACCATTAAAGATATAAAATCAAATTTGTTCGTGTACCTCAGGTACAAACTGAAAGAGCCATAGAACATCCCACAATATTGAAAGACTCAACTAAAGATCAGAAAAGAGGCAAAGTAGTCAGGGTACAGGAAGAGTGGGATATTGAAATAGTGTATGAGGTCTGTCCAAAAAGAAACCGAACTTTTTAAAAAACAAATTTATTGCTTACAACTTTATACCAACAAAATATGCATGTCTGGTATGAGTGAACAGGATGACAGCCATCAACAAAATTTGTATATCAGTCAAGTAAAGTGTGTCATTTGTCCTGTAGCGAGCACTGCACATGTTCAGACACATTTGAGAGTGAGTAAGCTAAGTAACCATTAATGACAAGAGTGATAACCACCTAACTGGCTAGTAACCTGACAAGGGATAATGATTGTACATAAGCAAACTAGCTCATTCACTAATTTATGAATAAGTGTCCAGAAAACCCCAAAAGCCGAGTAAGGAAGGTGTAATATGTTTAGTGAATGATACACTACAATACAGTTCAATATAACAACCAGATTCAAGAAACTCCCAATTTATTTAAATTATCTTAAAATCCTAACACTGCCAACAATGTGTTATCTCATTTCCATCTTGCAAGGCAAGAAAATGTCAGACTCCAGAAGAGTGACCAATGTAATGTATACCACAAAAGTAAAATTTATGTTAACTCTGAAATGCATTTTGAACTAAATATGGTTCTGTTAACTACAAATGAAGCATGTTACCCGCCACCTAGGATTATCCCTCTTATATACAGTGTATCGTATTTTATGACATATAAGACACACTTTTTTGTCTGAAAAATGGCTAAAAAACTCTGTCTGCGTCCCATATGTGAAGTTGGTCTCCCGCAAGCTAATAAACCCCCAGTAGACTAAATTCTACCTAACTACTTAAACACATTAATATTATTTTTAATTAATTCAAAAATAATTATTGTAAATATAAAAGCTTGAGCTATAACTACTCTGTACTGTACTGATGATGATAACCTGAGACGAATAACATCCATAAAACAGTAACCAAACAGGGAGGTACTACCGCCTGGGAAGATATTGAAAGCATATGGTATTGTCTAATGGTAGATCCTGCTACTATATGGCATCAAAAAAATTGTGACCAAGTCCCAGGTTGCTGATCTGACTTTCTGCCTCATTTGCACACAATTGCAGGGTCTCAATTGTTTCTCTTACTATTGACAACACAACATACAGTACACACATTGTTTCTCACTACAGTATTTATCTTTTTTTTTCATTTTCGTATTTCTTTATTATTATTAGAGTGTTGTTATTATTATCATTACTATTTTATTATTTTATTTTCAATTTTGTATTTATTATAAATTTTATTTACTATGAATTATTTTTATTATTATTATTACATTTTCGCCCCGCAGGCCCCGATGTGGGTCAATGACCTGTGCCCAGGTGGGCTAATCCCCCAAAAAAAAAGAAAAAAAGAAAGAAAGAACTCTTACAAGCATAACAATCTATTAATTCCATACCTGCAACATTTATTTTTCCATCTACTAATACCTGATACAAATGAAGATTAACAGATAACTTTCTTTTCACATTTACATCTGTTAACATCACTGGCAGCCTTGTAGCCAGGTTAGACTCATCACCAGGCTACTGGACAAAGCTGTTGTTTTTCAACTCGTATTTTCCGGTAGATATACGTAACTTTCTTCATTTATTTTTACTGATATACATGCACACACCATCCTACATACATATTGTGATAAAGGTAAAAGACGTAATTGTCCTAAGGGCAAACACATAAAAGTAATGTACATTTCTTTGTACATGAGTTAGCTGGCTTAGTGGGGGAGCAGGAGGATGGCTGGGCAGTGGGTGGTGGGGGGGAGCGTTGCTAGGGAAGGTGGAGGTAGTGGTGCTGTTATTATGGTAAACATGGTGTACAGATGAACAGTACTGTATATGTTAATGGTAACTGTGTTAAACTTTCATTTGGCTTTTATTTACTGGTTTAGCAATACAGTATTATTTATTGTACAGTAAATTATTTATTGGTATTGTTTTTATTTATTCCTCACATTTCTGGTACTGTATATATTGCTTAAAAAAACATGGATAGAGGAGGAAAATAAAAAAAAATTCGTCCTAAATACTCCCTACTAAAATAGGGGGTGTGTCTTATATGGCCGTGCGTCTAATAGGCCATAAAATACGATGTGTGTATATATATATATATATATATATATATATATATATATATATATATATATATTACAAAACCTGCACCACAAAGTTGACTGCATGAACCTGGCACCCATAACAGTCCCTCTATGTATATAAAGTGACAAACCTGCACCACCAAACCAACTGTCAAAAGTGTATGTACAGAGTGCCCTGACAGGTGGTGTTGAAGAGTTGCTCATCACCTGCACCTGTCTCCCTTACTCACTCACAACTCCCTTACTTGACTTCTACTTAAGCACATGATTCCCAGTAGCTGAAAGTAAATATAAACAAAACATATAAATCAAAATGATGATAGTAAATGGCCACAATACACACTGTACAATACACACTGTTCAAATCAATGAACCCACTGGCCACTAAGTAAAGACAATTACAAGCCTTAACTCCATAACAACATATGACAGTTAATGTACCTAAAAAAGAGAAAACAATTTCATAATGATAACATCTCAACTATAGGGCAAATAAACTCAAAATACAGATTTAGAAAAAATTCAATAAAATGATCCAAGTACAGAACAGAACAGCCGTTGACAGTACCACACGGTTATATATATATATATATATATATATATATATATATATATATATATATATATATATATATATATATATATATATATATATATATATATATATATATATATATATATATATTGTATAGTCATTAAAGCATCCTGATGTTATCCCTGGGAAGGCTACATAAAGAAAAAGGTGTCTGGTGCTTGGGCTGTAATATATAATAAAAAATAAGCTATTTACATATTAAACTAGTATGGTGCATAGCAGTGACGAAGTGCAGCCATTGCATTAACTCTCCACTTCATTTATGAAAGAAACTTCATAAGACCATTCATTATGTTAAACTTGATCACATCACATGTGGTGGTGTCAAGGGTGCCAAACTAACTCGTAAAGAACATACACACAAGGGGTGAAGGAGATATGGAATATCTGTGCATGGAATTAAGTCTATAATAGATAATGATGCATGATATAAGGTAAATAGGAGGGGCAGTAAGGAAATAAGATAAATATAGGAGAGGAACCACAAGGTTCAGAGGCAGACTTGGGGACTGACCGCAAACGGACTTTGGGATCGTCAGCAACTGGTGATGAGGGGAGAGCAGCACCAAACTCAATTGATAAGTGTAGACACTCTGAAAAATGAAGATTGTTTCTCAAGCTTCTGTATGTAATCTGTGTACTATGTTTTCCCTATATGAATGCAAGCTACATAATTTTGTGCATCATACACAAGCGTTAGATTTGTGACAATATATATGGTCAATACACTTCTGTTAGTATTGCTAAGGCAGTCTTTCGGTCAATAAAAATTTTGGAACTCCTCTTAATAAAGGAAATGGATAAAGCTTCTCAAGACTTTCCTAAAGGCCAATACAGTAATGCACAAGAAAAAAGGAGGTCCAAGACTTGTACAGTAACATGCCAAAACATAAAAATAAGAATATGCCACCAAAGCAAACCCATTGCCACTTAGCTAATATGCTGTATTTGCCGGCATATAAGACGCCCCACCGCATAAGACGCACCCCTATTTTACAGGGATATTTTGTGGGAATTTTTTTTAGTACATTTCACCATACAATTATTAAAAATGATTTTAAAGTGGTTTTGTAGGGGAAAACATATGATTTTGTGCATGTAAATACAATACTATGCTGGAATCAAGTAGAAAATCATATGCAGTATAGTCACATTACACTAACCCAACTCTACCTCTGATCAGAGCAGCTGTGTGGCTTGTTTATATTTTGGTCAAGAGAATTACCGACAGGATGTGAAACTCGTATTTTTGGCTGTGATGTTTTGTGTTGCCGCGATCTACCACCAGGGTGTAGCACCATCTCTATTGTTTTGGCGTCATCGACTCATTGCAAATGGCTGACTGGCGGCTGAACTTTTTTAACATTTCTTTAATCTTTCTAGGGGCATTTTTCACTTAGATAATAAACAAATGTTTCTTAAAGGTAATACAGTCATTAAATAATGTAAGACATGTATCTGGGGTGGGTTACATATGCTGGGGAAGGAGGTACAGTGAGACGTTGTGAGCTTCCCTCTGCTGTTAAGCCAATATTTACGTTTTTGGCAAATTTGCCGTAAGTTTGTGATAATTTTGCTTGTTTTTCAGTATTTTATTATTAGTAACAAAATTGTTGTGCTTAGTGGACTACTGCTCGTCCCAGATTCCCTAGCTAGGCACCTCCGCCAATGGCGCTCGGCCTCCCATCCGTAATACGGGCGCATTAGACGCAGGGTAATTTGTGATACATTAAAAAATAAATAAAAAAATAAAATGCGTCTTTTACGCCGGCAAATATGGTAACCATCCATAAAAAGTTTCAACTGAAATACAGTATAACACAATGGACATCATCTGGCCATATTCCATTTCTTCATTTTCTAAACCTTATAGTAATCACACATCCAAAGCTTAAAACACTTTACAGTTATAAAGAAAGAAAGTTACTATCTTAAATGGAAAAGTTACCCCAAGTGTACACACAAACCCGAAAGTGACTAGTTCAACACCCAATCCCATTAACAACAAAAGTGTGTTTCAATTAAAAATACAAACAGATAGGTGCTGAAAACCTTCCTCAAACACATCTATATCTAGTAATAATTGTCAAAATGAACTTGTAGCTTTGTAACTTTATACGTAAAAGAATAAATGATTATATACAAGTGTGCCATGCTCTATAAAATTCAACTTCCAGTACTCACATTTATGGTCAACAATCACCATCCTATTTCTGCTTCTCACATATTACATAATTAAAATAATTCTACACATATGGCAGAAAAGCAGATGTTAATAACTATAAGGTTTTATATTTATACAATACAGTATTGTAGTGTATTCCAGACTATAGTCACTCAACCACAATCTTGGTACAGTAGAAGCTCTTTTTTTAAGCTTGTGTTTTCTGGCCCTCAATTTTTTTGTTTTTTAATACACAAAGTTCATGTATATTTTAACTTGATCAATTGGTAATAATATTGTACATATATCTAGTAGTGCATCAAACTGCAAGTGAGACTTCTGTCTATATACAGTAGTTGCTTTTATGCAAATACTGTACTGTAGTGTATTTAGCAAATAATCTGACATTACTTTGAAGACATTAGGGGCAGCCACATGTAGAATCGAATATGATGTTTATTTTCTTAAAACAACAAAAATATATATGTACTATTTGTAAAGTAATTGGAGGTTTTCTTAACAGCAATCTTAACAAGAGAAAATAATTAATAAAAGCACATAAAACTTTACACCTAATCATGGTACAAAAATATTCAATTACGAGGTAGTGAAAAACAATTAAATCAGTCAGTAGAGGAACCTGCAAAGTTTTAAAGATTAGTTGATTAAAATATTATGCCTAAATATTACAATGTATATACAGAATATTATATAAAAATAGGTACCAAGTGTCAATACCACAAGGATTAACACCTTTGACCACCTCCTAAAACACATCTTGCCACAAAAATTTTCTGAAACATTTCAAGCCACCTTAACACACACACACTCAAAACATATACACACTCAATTCTCATGTTCACAGTCATTTACACAAACACATCCTTTTACTATTCTTGAATAAGACTAAAATTGAAAATATTGCTTGTGCTCACAACAATATACATATTTATTCCCAGGAAGCTATCACAACTTTCTAGAAAAAATGAACCTTAGTATACTGTAAATTCTATTTATCTATCCAATTAGCGATTATCTTTACTCCTCCCCCACTACTGTGAGGGGTAAAACAAGGAGGCAAAGAAACTTCACAGTGAGAGAGGAAAGTATGGGAGAAGGATCCAGGGTACAGTTGCCAATACATACTCTTGACATGTCTGGTAGCATCTGACAACTAAATAAATTATTTTTGACATTAATGGTTCATTTATTATAAGTATAATATCAACCAATGCTAAAAGAATCCATCACATGTTGAATGTATTTTGTCAGGAACTGTAGATGAAGACAGCTACTAGGAAAGGGCTAAGACAAATAAAACTTACTCATATCCCCAACTGTTAAGAAATAACCTATTCTCTAGTCACAAATTGAATCATTGGATGGTTAGTGGAAGGGGGGGGGGGGGCTGGTGTACTACATAGTGAGCAGCATCTATATGGATGCTCAGTAGTAGAGTATTTGCCTCACACACAAATGGATGTAGGGTTGATTGCCAATGAGAGGAAAGAATTAGATTCCCTACTTGTTTACGATCCCATGCAGCAACAAATGACTACAATACAGTGGTCCCTCGGTTAACGAACGGTTCGGTTAACGAAATACCTTCCATAAGAATCTTCAATTCAGTTAACGAAAAAAAATTCGATTAACGAAATCCATACGAACATCACGTTTTGTTGTGAGCATCAGCTGATGGGCTAGTCTGCCAATTCAGAAATCTGTTCTATGTTTACATTCGTTTCCAATGGAGTAAATATCAATAAAGTTGTATTCTTTAATATTTTTGCATTTTTTATATTAAAATTATTAGTCATTTTAACATTTATTTAATATATTGATAATATTTGCAGTACAGGGAACTATTTTTTTTTGCGCCCATTAGATGCTTGACTCGACCACAAGGCGTCAGTTTGGCTTTGTTGACAGTGAAATGAACATCTATTTTGTTGGTGTCTTGCATATTTTTGCATTTTTCATTGAAATTATTGGTCATTCTGAAATTTAGTTAACATATTGATAATATATAGCGCAGTGCAGTGTTGATTTAAAGAAAATAATCTTGAATTACACCCATTGAACTTAAAATTTTATTGGTGAAATTACTGCATCAAGCATGGGTCCCCTGAAAGATGATTTCTCATCCATCCCCACTTCCTTCTCTTCTCCCTTCTCCTCCACCCCCACTTCTAATTCCCATCATCATCATCATCAACCAGGAACCTTCTACATACACACCTCAAAGTAAATGTACTTTACTGCATTTTATTTATACTTTGTATGTACTTTTCAGTGAGCTGGAACCAATTACCCAATATCCCATTGAAACAATGGATTCGGTTAACGAACGACCCTCTGGAACGAATTGTGTTCGTTAACCAAGGGACCACTGTATTGTGTATGCTTGTCATGGGTGCAAGAACCTTTCAGATGTATAGCATTCTGATAAGGGGTAAGATAAACCCCTAACAATTGCATACTATTACTCTGGGGATCAACACTAATCTGGCCATCCTACAGCATAACAGTAAGAAGGTTTAAGAGAAAAAGCCTTGATAAAAGCATTTACAAACTGTGTTTTTCCTATTTCCTCCTGAATAAAGGTAAATCTAACCTGAACTTCATTCAGGCAGCTGCAACAGCCAAGTGACATGATCATACAAATGGTGAGATAAACAGAAGCAATTACCACTTACAGTACAGTACTATAAAGAGCACATGATGGTAACAGAGAACAACTACAGTACTTGGTTATATCCCAATTCAGAATGATCCATGCTTCTGTAACAAATATCTTAACCCAGATGATGATATATAATACATTAGTGTATAGGGTAAATTAATGCTTCACAAAGAACTATAATGCAGTACTGTACAGTAAATACAACTGATCATCTATATTGTATTACATTTTCACCTTTTTCTAATACATATTGATATTGATCAACACAAATTCTAGGAGCACAGTATTGTGTTTGGAAAGAAAATATTAGTGTTCAACATTCATATTTTGCCTTACAATGCAGTCCTACTATACTTCTTATGCTTACCTTCCCCTAGTTGTGACAAGCATTAAAAGCATTAAACAATTAACATTCTACACAAAATGTTGTGTCAAGTTTGGAGATCTCCAAAAATAAAGTGCATGCATATATTATCTTGGGGACCTTGCTAAGATTCCTTCACCCCCTTGTAATACTGTACAGTTTCTCTCCCAAGCTCAAGTGTATTTTTATATAAACTTATATGTATGTTGTATCATCTATAATTACAGATACGTATCAAATTTAATACAGGAGGTCCCCGACTTACGAATGCCCGCCGATATGAACAAGGTTAAACTTGGAATTTATAGTATTATATTTACCTGATGACTTATTTTTTACTTTCATTTACTGTATTTTGTCACTCTATTTCTTCTTTTGTCTTAAATTAAGTGATTTTAGATGTATATAAGGACTTAAGCTTTGATATAGTGGGATTTTAAACATTGTTCTGTAAGTACGGTATGCATATAGCAAGTGTTCCTACTTACATACAGAACAGAACCCGTTTGCAGCCTGGGGACCCCTTGTATTCAACTTTGTCAACTAATTTCATGTAATCCATATATTCAGTTTTATATTATTGGTCTAGTTTTGGCTTTAAAAATTCTCCACAGTCGACCTTAATGTAAAATGTAAATTACAGGTGTATACAGAACAGTATTTAAAACAAATGACAACAACAGCACCAAGACTTGATGTTGTGTTACCATGCATTAGTCAACAAGAGATGATAGTACCACATGATGTACAAGTTTGCTCGGGTCTATCAGGTATACTGACCCAGTAGGATGAAAGATACACTTGAAGGAGAGGGAGGATGTGGGGAAGGGGGATGGTGAGAGGAGATGGATAAGAAGCAGAGTAGAAGAGGGGGAGAGAAGAGTAGAATAAAAGTGTATATGGGTTAAAAGGAGGCATGGGATTGTGTAGGAGAGTGGTGTGAGGGAGCCTAAGAATAATGGATGAGTTCTCTCCATCAGAGATTAATGAGAAACAGCAGTGTGTTGTAAATTACAGCCAGGCACTAACATGAGTCCAATTCTTTTACAGTGCAGTACTGGGTAACTTTCTGCACTGTGCAGTTAACTTGTTTAAAGGACTCTCATATTGCAAAACATTGATAATTCACATATAAAAGACTTTTATGATGTAAATTAGGTCTGTTTTTACACGACCAATGTAACTATTGTAATGAAGCAAAAATACAACATTATTTTGCTGCCAATCAAATGCAAATTTCCTATATTGTATCACTTTTTTCATATCACCATGATCAATCAAATCTTTTAAACACTCAGTCCCTCATAATAATAAAAAAAAAACATTTACTATACTGCTTACTTAAGCAAATAAAATCTTCCACATGAGAATTTTTGCCTTGTAAATACTAATCAAGTGACATTATTAAAGTGGACAGTACAGTACAGCATTTATCATAGTTATCCCAAACAGATACTACTGTATTCTATAAATACATGTTGGGACATGTTGAAGATTAAACACTTAAGTACAAGGTTATAACAATATAACAAATACAAAAAATATAACAATGACACTACAATAATCTAAAATAGCTGCTGGCTCACAATTCACACTGAAAATAGATAACATATGATGTAGAAGTCCCCCTTAAAGAGGAATGTTTAAAGTGCCAGTTGAAAGTGAAATAAATCCTCCTTTCTTGAAACATCTCACCAAAGTATCCCAGTCATGCAAAGGATTTTTTAACTAGTATTATGATTACCTTCATAATGAAAAAAATCCAACAGATTCTGTATATAGATAAGTTAATTATTGACACATAATAATGCATAAAGTATCATAAAACAGGAGTATTAATTAGAACAAAAATGAAGGACTTGAGTGTAGAAGGAAAAAAATTCCATAAGCCTTCAAGAGAAACAGTACTGCAATGTTCTGGAGCTGTAGTGGACCACAGTAGACCCCATGACTTGAGTGAACCAATAAGTACCCGGCCCATTAGCTTCAATGAACCATGACAGCCCAGGAAGATGAGTAGACCACAAGATATTTGCCTTCTCTTACCGTATGACATTCAAAGGCACAGTCATGTTCTTGCCCATGCGGTTCAGCAGATCCTCCCCGAGAGGTTTGGGTACTTCAACCCACGAATATTTGTCAATGAGGGGTACATCCTCTAGTGCTTTACGAATTGGAACAAGTAGCGTAAGACACATTCCATCGTGGTCACCGCTTGGAGAACTAGTTTTTAGCTCTACATTCATAACACCTTGTGGTCTGTGAGGCGGCAGGTCTGAACCAAAAATTTCCTGTAAAAGATACAATGAAATAGAGTAATTTGAATCTTGTACTGTAATTAAATACAGTATACTATAAGGTGTTTTGGAAATACATTTCATAATTCTGTAGTGTCAATACCCAATAGTTTCAGAGTTATACCACACAACTAGGTAGGGGAGGACTGCAACAAGTCTATGGACATAAAACATAAGGTATCAAGACCTATTTAAAGTACAGGTAAGCGGTAGCAGTCGAGTGGGTCTGTTGACAACCCACATAATGACACATAAATCTCATCAGGTATGATTTACAATCAATGTTTGGGGGTGGCATTATTGGTGACCACCTTACCTGCTACCCCAGCGACTGACAGGTGAAACAAACCTATATATTCTTGAGAACATCTTGCCAGTGATGCTTGAGGACATGCCCATCAGGATACGTCAACAACTATGGTACTGTACATGCATGATGGCGCCTCAGTTCATTTTGCTCGAGTAACAACGGAATTCCTAAATGTTGGGTAATCTGTTCCACGGCCACCTTAATCACCTGACCTAAACCCCTCTACTTGTGAGGTCACGTTAAAAGCAAAGTGTGTGCTACAGAGGTCCCGACTCATGAGGAACTGTGGTGCCGAGTACAAGACAGTGCCAGAATGCTTGTGGCACAACACACCTGGAGTCTTTGAATGTGTACGGCAGTCACTTATGTAGTGGGCTGAAGCCTACATTTAAGAAGAGAGCCGGAACTTTGAACATTTACTGTAGAAACCATATCAGATTGTAAATATAGCATCACTGGATACTTAATTTATACTCCGTAGATTTGATCACATTCTAACCCAAATTGCCATGTGTCATAACTCTGAAACTATGGAGATTGGATGCCATTGTTGTAGTTGTCAGTGTTTACACCCATAATGTCAGTTATCCATCTGAAATTGAAGAAAATAAGACCCTGGTTGTTGCTGTAGTAAAATTAATGTACAAAACTGAATATGTACATTTTAAGTAATGTTATTTAATGTTAATAAATGGAACAATAAAAGTAGCTAAACACTAATGGTAAAGAAAATAGTTAGACAGATTGTGCAATGCCAACGTATGGAAGTGCGTACATGTGAAAACATATCATCATTTCTCTACATAAGAATATGAAAGCAACACTTATTACTGTTCATATATGTTTTAAATAATACTTACTAATGTAAATACAAAATTCTACTCACAAATGGTGGTAAAGTCTAAAGCATAAGAACAGCCAATGATGTTGTGTGAGTTTTTACTCAGATGAACAAAGTCATCAGTTTTAACTCTCGCTGAAACTGTAGCTTTCCATAAAAATGCCATAGCTGTTGCTGAAGCTGTTGCTGAAACTGTTACTGAACCTGTAGTTGTTGCTGAAGCTGCTGCTGAATTTGATTGTGTAGCTGTAACTGAATTTGATGGTGTAGCTGAAGTTGATGGTTTAGGCCTTTGAATAATAAAGTTGTCTAAAGAACCTTTCACAGCTGCTTTCTTTTCTCATTTTAGTATACATCTTTATGCTGAAGTCATGTATTTTTCACGTCCCTGTTAATTTTAATGCTTCGTTCTGTTAATGGATCCACTTCAGAAAATATGTTCATCACTTGCTCCATATAATATCCACAGACCTCTCACCTTTTTCATATTGTTTTAATACATCTAGTTTATTAGCTTATACACTTTCTTTTAGCTTTTCAACCATCACTTGCTCATGCTGAATAGGGATGCAAAAATGCAGCTCTTATAATGCTCTCAAGTACTTTACATACTATGCTGGTCAAGCTCACTGGTCTAAAATTATTTGTGGAGCGACGATCGCCCTTCTTGACTATAGGACTCGCATAAGCCATTTTCCAATCACTGGGGACCATTTGTTCATCCAGGCATTTACAGAACAGGATCTTCAGGGGCTCGGCAAGCTCGTTGCACAACTCTTTTAGCACTCTGGGATACACCATGTCAGGGCCGGGACTCTTATGGACCTTTAGCCTTGACAGTTTATTTCTTATACCCTCTTCTGAGTACACAATGTGGGTAAGTGTTGTGTTAAACTGTCTGTTCTCAAAAGCAGGACTATTGTTCACATCCTCTCTTGCGAACACCGAGGAAAAGAAACTGTTCAACGCCTCCGCTTTGTCCTGGTCAGAATCTGTGTAACTACCATCTTCAAGCCTCGGGTCCGATATGCCTACTCATGTTTTAAATTTCGACTTTGCATAGCAGAAAAACGCCCTTGGGTTTGACTTGACCTCGCTTGCAATCTGCCTCTGGAACTCTTTCACAGCCCTTCTACACTCTGACTGGATCTGGTATACATCCTCCTGTCCTGCTCATCATTTGTCCAAGACCACGTCTCAAATTTTTTAGTTTTCTTCTTAACTTTGTTGACTGCTGCATGTTCCATGTACAGTATAGCAGTTTCCTTGTATTCCTGGAAGTACTGAGTTTCACTTTGGGTATATATTTATCAACCAAATGGTTCACTCTACTGGCTATGATACAGGTAGTTCTGCTATAACGCGATAATTGTGTTCTTGTAAAATATCGTGTTATAGAAAATCGCGTAATAGAAATAACAGGGCTTACGGAGAAAATAGGGTTAGGTGCAGATTACTCGAAATCGAAAAAATTTAGTAGTTAGCCTAACACAAAGGATAGCAGTCTAAATAAATGTTACATTCATATCTAATAATGAAATCATACAGTAAATGTAACACTTTACTAGATGGGGGAGAAGGGTGATTTTGAGGTTGATAAAATCGAGCTTCTCTTCAAGTGTTATATCCTTTCTTTTACGATCATCACCGGGAATTCTATCACCAGAACGCTTCTTGTTGATATTCTTCTTTACTATATTCACAGTTAATACAGTACCACAAAATTGGAGAAATAGTAAGCAAAAATCGCGTTATAGCAAACAAGCGTTCGCGTTATACAAATATCGTTCCTAATTCATAAATCGCGTTAGACCAAATTCGCGTTATCAAAACACGCGTTATAGCAGAACTCACTGTAGTCAGTGTAGTGAGTCAAGCCAGTGGGTACCCCTCATTTCCTCTCATTGTAATTTCCCTTGTAATATTTGAAACTTGGCCTGGTAACAGTTAAATCTGAAGGACAACATTTTGTGGTGGTGACTGGAGCCAACTGGGGCTAGATGTTCCAGCTTGGCCACCATACCCTCCTCTTAAGTTATGATGAGGTCCAGTGGCTTGGGTGTTTGCTACCCTTTGTAGTGAGTCGTATCTTTAAGATGTTGGAACAAAATTGTGTCTCAGAGTTTCTACAAAAAGAGTAGTGGGATTATTAAGGTCATTTGGTGTGGTTTTATTTGTTCCAGTCGATGTCGCCAAAGTTAAAGTCCCCATGACTAGAAGGTGACTTGGGTTGAGCATTGCTGTGTTGTCTATTCAGGCTCTAATTTTATACCACTTTGATTCTTCAAAAACATCCTCTCCCTTTACCCTCACTTGGCTGGCTCTAAGGTCTTGCCTATCATAGATAACCACACCCCTCTTGCAAGTTTCTTGAGAAAGGTTTGTAAATGAGTCACATCCAGCAATATTGAGCTCACATTCCTCTGGGTCGATTCTCCTGTTCTTGTACAACAGTTCTACAACACCTACTGTACTATGTCGGATTGATGTACCTTGGTAGTGTTTCAAACTCTGCTCTCTAATGAAGGAACGTGTCAGTATTAGTGTACACGACTTTCAAGCCGGAATTTGGTTTCGGTAAAGTCTCTGATCTTGGTAGTGCCTCCGGCCTCCCTCCATTCTCAGCAGCTGCAGCATTTGCTGAATTCATTGTGTTATGTGGGATGTGGTCAAAGATGACAGTTTACATGGCGCTCACCTCCTCCTGGGTGGGAGGTAGAGCGGGTGTGGGTGTCCTGCTGTCCCCTGGTTCTGTACTGGTGCACATGACTCCATTACCTTTCCCTTGTATATAACCAATGCACAAATATCCCCATTCCTCACTGAATCCTTCCTCTTCTGCTTCAAACAACATAAGAGGTTTTTTGCTGTTCCCTCAACATTACCGTGCGATCTGAGTTTATGAATATACAGTATGCAGAGGATCCTCGACTTACGAATCTGACATAGGTACAACTGGTTCGTGGTATAGTATTAACGTATGAGAATTAGTTTGCATGGCGTAACCATGAGGCAGAGCGTGGGGAGTAATGCATCACCAAGCCACATGGCTTGAGGGAGAGTCAGTATCTCCTTACCCTCACCTCAGTAACGTGTGTGATCATGTGCAAACTTTTGTTTTTTGCTTATTAACTATTTTTTACAGCCACCATCATGGCTCCCAAAAACAAACTTGATGCAAGTGATAGTAGTGCACCCAAGAACAGGAAAACAAATACAATTGAAGTGAAGCTTGATGTAATTAAATGTTCTGAAAACGGCGAAACACCATCAGTCGCTCAACAGTTGGAAAAATTTTTAAAGACAATGAGAAAATTCTTGAACATGTTAAAGGATCTACACCAATGCAGTCAACTGTGAGAACTAAACAAAAAAATGCAAAGATTGTTAGTGACATGGGTGGAAGATCAAAATCAACGGCATCTGCCTCAAGTCTAGCCTCGATTCGGGAAAAAGTGAGAAGCTTGCACACTGACTTGAAGGCTAAACGTGGTGGTGAAAATGATGGGGAAGATTTTGCTGCTAGTAGTAGAAACTGGTTTAACCAGTTCAAGGTAAGGGCAAATGGTGTTTGGAAAAAACTCTGCCCACCGTTTGTCCACGATTACAGTGGCTCTGAAAATAATGTTGGGGAAGTGACACAGACAGTGATAGACCTTGGGAACCAACTTGATATTCATAAGGACAATGTCACACAGTTGCTTGAGTCTCATGCTGAAAAATTAACCAATGAGGACCTGATTAAAGTGGAGAAGCAAATTTTGTCAGAGGATGTAAAGGAAACTGAAACTCCAGGACCAAAGAGATTCATTACAAAAGAAATGGTAGAAGGTTTCAGGATCATTGAAGGAGGATTGTTTAAATTTGAACAGCAGGATACCAACATAGCAAGATTCACCAAGATTATTAGAGGTATTAATGAAGCTCTATGATGCTACAGAGAGATTTATGATGAAAAGAAGAAAGCTTCAGTTCAACCATCACAGTAAAGCCTCGGTCACTCCTACAAATGCCCATCTCTACATGCAAGCCAGCCGCAGGTTTCAATGTAAGTGTTAAACTTAAATTTTCAGTTTCTTTTAATATATTTTGTCATTCAAATTCTATGATATAGTGCACGTAGGGTATGTGTGCCGACTTACGCACATTTCCATCTTAAGAATATCTTCAGGAACGGAACTCGTTTCTTATCCTGGAGACCCCCTGTATTTCGAAGTGCATCACTTCTTGCTACGTTTTTTGCCTGGTTGTGAAGGATGTACTGTTGTGGTCCTACTGGAAGTTCTCTTTCTCCAGGAAGACACAGGGTGTGAACTAGGACCCAGGAATGTGTGACTATATCTTATTTCATCCATTGTGTATCATGTTTTAGTATCAATTTGTTCACCAGTGTTAAGGGTGAATGTTGGGTGATATTTTGTGAATGGAGGGAGAGCCATATTATGAAATTAAGGCAGATAAGCTATTAAATTAGTTGGGTCACAGGACCGTGCTGTATTTTTGTCTGTACAGGTAGTTCTGCTATAACGCGATAATTGTGTTCTTGTAAAATATCGTGTTATAGAAAATCGCGTAATAGAAATAACAGGGCTTATGGAGAAAATAGGGTTAGGTGCAGATTACTCGAAATCGAAAAAATTTAGTAGTTAGCATAACACAAAGGATAGCACAGTCTAAATAAATGTTACCTTCATATCTAATAATGAAATCATACAGTAAATGTAACACTTTACTTGATGGGGGAGAACGGTGATTTTGAGGTTGATAAAATCGAGCTTCTCTTCAAGTGTTATATCCTTTCTTTTACGATCATCACCCGGAATTCTATCACCAGAACGCTTCTTGTTGATATTCTTCTTTACTATATTCACAGTTAATACGTACCACAAAATTGGAGAAATAGTAAGCAAAAATCGCGTTATAGCAAACAAGCGTTCGCGTTATACAAATATCGTTCCTAATTCATAAATCGCGTTACAGCAAATTCGCGTTATCAAAACACGCGTTATAGCAGAACTCACTGTACTCTTGTTTATTGTAAATATATTAAGTTTAGTTATTACAAGCTGGTGTTACTTCGAAATCCTTGGATGCATGTTCACAATGTAATTGGATGGAAATGTCATCTTCAACTGTCAGCTGGAGGTAGCAAAGGTTTGTCTACATGATTCTGGTCTGTTCACCAAAGCTGTTATTTCAGAACGTGAGTCTGATTAATGGGCCTAGAGGTTGAAGCACTGCTGGAAGATGAGGAATATTCAGAAGTGGCTGTGACACTCTACACTGGCAACCAACAAGGATCCAGTTTCATCTATTTTTGTCTCTTAGTTTCTCATTCCTTTAGGATCTGCAATAGCCTCGTTTACTTGGTTATGCAGTCAGGACCGTACCAGCAACAGCCTTCATGCTTTACCTCATTCTGCAACGTACCAAAGATGCGGTCAGACCCCCACAGTCCGTCCTAGATGACGTCCACTTGCAGTAATTGCATGTCAGCAAACTACTTGGTGACCCTGAAGTTGTAATCCCTGGTTCTCCATGTCTATGCATTTCCAATCATAAACTGTCTTCTTCCTTTTACGTACTTACACCTGTGGGGACACACAGCGCTTGACAGCTGTCGCCGTTGGCAATCCTGGGGAAGGGGAAGGAGCTAATGGGGGGATGTCCAGACTCTGTAAGAATCTTCTTAGTCTTAAGCCCAGTTACGATGTGATATAATTCTAACTGTCGGTTTAATAATAATAATAATAATAATAATAATAATAATAATAATAATAATAATAATAATAATAACACTTATTACTATTACTATGACAATTGCTTTTGTGCTTGCCTGTCAAGGACCTTTCAAAGTCCCATGACTCAGCTGTGTTCCCACAGTAGGCCTCGTGTCTGGTGTGTTGGGAGGGGAGCCTGATGCCAACCTTCGTAATCTTTCACTATATTCCGACAAAGAAATTTACCCCTCGCTGGGATGACTTCCTTTATAATCACACCTGCTAATTGTAATGTAAGTGAACTGAGATGTGTGAGTGATTATGCCCTATTGGCAGACTATTATTTAAAAAATCACTGAGCTGTCCTGCCGGTCTTGACCTAGCCGACACCTTCGTTTGTCCAGTGTAGCCGTCCAAGACAGTTTGGATTTGTTTTTCTTACCTATGACAATGTTAACTTTATAGGTATAGTACTGTGCAGTAGGGTGTTTTAATCGTCAGGTGAAATAAGGAAGGGTGCCTCATCTTCACATGATCCCATTTCTTATCCAGGACTAGGTTAAGACACCACCTCTAAGTTTAGATGTAAATTCATGAGAAATCCCACGTACTGTATATATTCTGTGGTTTCTGTTTGTAGCACTACATGATGTACCTGTCAGTACCATACTGGGGATGTGACTGTTGAATCATCCTGTACACTGATTCAAATATTGCACCAAATTTCAGCATTTCAATCTAAAGAGATGGCCTTTAACCCTTAGACGTTCTAGAACGTCTGCCTATTTTCCAGCCATTTTTTTTTATTATTTTTGGAAATTTTGATTTTTTTTTCTTGATTTAATCCCGCGTGGGGGGTACTGCCAGCAGCACCCTAACCCGGGGCTGAAGGGTTAACCAAAGTGAAGATTCTATGAGTAGGCAGTAGGCAGCTACCAAACAGGGAGGTACTACCACCTGGAAGATATTGGAAGCATAATGTGTTGTCTAATGGTAGACCCTGCTGCCATATGGCATCACAAAAATTGTGACCAAGTCCCAGGTTGCTCATCTGACTTTCTGCCTCATTTACACACAATTGCAGGGTCTTAATTGTTTTTCTTACTATTGACATGCAACATACATATATTGTTTCTCACTTTAGATCATATAAGAAATTGTCCCAAATACAATAATTACATAAGAACATAAGAAAATAAGGAGTCGCAATAGGCCGGTTGGCCTGTGCATGGCAGCTCCTGTCGAGAGTTACTACCACTCTCCATCATCCATGAATCTATCTAGCCTCCTTTTGAAACTTTCCAGAGTTCCCGCACTTACTACAAAGTTGCTAAGCTTGTTCCACTCGTCCACCACCCTATTTGTGAACCGGTTTCTTCCTATCTCCCTCCTAAACCTAAACTTATCCAACTTGAATCCGTTGCTCCGAGTCCTATCCTGCTCGGGTATTATAAGAACTTTATCTATATCCCTTTTATTGATTCCTTTCACCCACTTAAATACTTCTATCGTATCTCCCCGCACTCTTCGTCTTTCTAGGGAATGCAAGTTAAGTTTCTTTAACCTATCCTGATATGGAAGGTTTCTAAGTCCCGGAATCATTTTTGTCATTCTTCGCTGCACCGACTATAGTGAATTTATATCCATTCTATAATAGGGGCACCAGAACTGAACCACATAATCGAGGTGCGGCCTGACTAGCGCAAGATATAGTTGCAATAAGACCTCTGCACTCTTGTTACTTACACTTCTAGATATAAAACCCAATACTCTGTTTGCCTTATTTCGAACATTAACGCACTGTTTTCTAGGCCATAGGTCTCTTTCACAAGTCGACTTCTCTAGGTTGATGTTAAGGCTGTATACATTATAAGTATTTGTTCTTCCAATATTAAGTATGCTGCACTTGCTGGTGTTGAATTTCATTTGCCATTTTTCAGATCACCCCTGCAGTTTATTTAGATCCTCCTGTAATGCATTTGCATCCTGCCCTGAATTAATTTGCCGCCCTATTTTGGTGTCATCCGCAAACTTGCTTATGTCACTGCTGATCCCAGTATCTAGATTGTTTATGTAGATTATGAGACATAAACAAAATAAAAGTCACTCTACTTCCTCACTGTGCTAATAAGTATAAATACCGTATATAAAATCCTTGTGGGACTTAGTATTTCAGCAATTACAACACAAATTCGCGGAGCCTTCTTTTGTGTGTATTTACAGCTGAATCGCCAGGCAAGAAGATGAAGGTCATGATGCGTATGGTGGGGTGTGAAGGAGGGGGTTTTGAGAACTGCAATTAAATGCCAGGTAGCGACGTGTCCTAATATTACTTATTAAGTAATTATTAGATGTTTTAATTGCCTGTGTGTTGGCCTGGCGAGTTAGCTAGGAATTAACATACCTAGGTAACATGCTGAGCATCGCATTCTGAGTTGAACAAAAAGAAGTATTGTAAACCTTTCAAAAGGTCGTGGCACCGAGTGCTTTTACCAACAAACTTGTCATTGGATCTGGCTGACAGGTGACAATTTAGTCCCTAACTTTCCAGCCAATGGTGAATTAACTCCTGTAATAACATGTTCTGAAAGTCCTGAAAATTCCAGTTCAAATACAAAAAAAAAAAAAAGTGATTTATGTTAGGGGAACCCTGGTTTATATTCCTTCAAATTACATATACTGTAGCACCATACATTTATTATCTACTTACAGTCATGTACTTCCTCAGAGTAGAGTGGAGGGACCTCACAGGGTTTATTTCTGTTACAGGGAGGTGAGTTGCTGTTTTGTCACTGGTCAGGATACACAGTCGGTTGCTATGAAACAAAAATTTAACAAATGATCACAACTTGAAATCTCTTCTCTTCCAGTTTCAATTTTAACATAGATATGGCAAGTGCTTGAACCAAATTGCTGTTCTCATAACCTTATATTTTATCACCACCCCAGCAGTGTACATTAAACCAGCCACGAGACCATTTTGTTGGTTTATACAAAATTTTAATCTTAAACCCAATATTCAATCAGGGGTTAGTTATAACACACATATTACTCTTGTCTTTAAAAACCTTTATCACACATTGTGTACTAACCTTTTTATATTATAATGACAACTGTATACACTTAGATAAAAATACTCAGATGTTGTGTGATATGTTAATGTTCCCACTGTGATTATGAGCAGACAATTGGTTTTTATATAAAACATTATGGATCACAAATATAATCACAGAATGATCCCTCAATTAAAATGCAATACACAGTACAGTACAGTATAAAATTAACCATAAACTTATTGAAAAAAGAAAAAGGAAAAATTTAATATAAAACTAGCTACAGGGGCCCCCCAAATTTGCGGGGGTTAGGTTCTCATAATGGCCGCAAATTGCCAAATCCGCAGACGGGAGGTGTTTAATTTTTACTTGTGTACAAAGAAATGTATTCCCTTTTTGTTTTTCCCCTCAGGACAATAATTTTTTTTACCTGTATGTAGTGTATATATGTATGTATGTATGTATGTATGTATGTGTGTGTGTGGTCCCACACACAAAACACATACCTGTACAAATAAATACATGTAATGAGAAAATCCTCTCACAAATAATCAGAAACAAATTTATTATAAATGTGACAGTCTACCCTCAAATCCATGCTTTAATAATAAAGTAATAAAGCACAGACTTGAGGGTAGACTCACATTTTTAATAAATTTGTTTCTGATTATTTGTGAGTAGTACAGTATTTTCCTATTACTGTAATATTTATTTGTATGTGTTTTGTGTGTGTGTTTACACACACATATATATATACAATACAGGTAAAGGAAATTACTGTCTCTAGAATGAATGGCTCTCTGTTCCGGCCGTGAAAATGCCAGCAACTTTAAAACTACCCACAGACATTCTTGGGTGCATCCAAGGTGTCATCCGCTAATAACAGAGGACCGCGAAATAAAAATCCAAGAACTTGGCGGAGCCCCCTGTATAATTATCTGAAATATAGTATCAACTTACTTAGCTTTCTTTCTGATAGCAATGACCAGTCTGAGAAGGAGTCTTGTATGGGGTTTATTGATAGGCTGGAGAGCAGGATGCCATGGCTCTTCTTCCTTGGCCCAATACTGCTTGGCCCGTCGGATCAGTGGGTAAATGTCGTTGCCTCTCAGACTTAATTCTGAGAGATCCTCAACCCACTTGGCCTGCAATGACTCCTTGTCTGCAGAGGCAGGAGTCTTGAGAGTTCCACCTAAAAAATGAATGAATCGTGATTGTGTCAACGTAGTATCAGGCTCCAAATCCTAAAATCTCTTCACAAAAAACACCAACTATACATTCCTCACTCTGGAATCCTGTCTGAATAACTCCGTAATTTGAGGTGCCCATGACTTCAGTGGCTATCCCACTTCTTTTCTTCACATATTCTTCTCTCAAAATGATCCCATAAGAAGGACCAACACCTGCATCAGGGAAATGAGCCATTAACTCAAACTACAGTACTGTAGCTAGTGATCTTAGATCAAACCACTTGCCAGTATGGCCCAAAGACTGGCAGTTGTCATACTCATAAAACATATTCAGTTTAATGTAAATTTTTAATGAAATTAACCAACTGTAAGATTCTGAAAAGCTACAACATAAAGAGTGTCCTTACCTACCACAGTACCAGTAACAACAAATCTGAACCATGACCCTGATGCAGATTCCACCATTAACAAGGTTGTGATGTCTGTTTCAAGGCCTGTCTCCTCTAAGACTTCTCTCTTGGCAGCTTCCTGAGATCAGATACAAGATGACAGGATCTCTTCATAATTACACCCTTTGGAACTTCAGTGAAATAAAATAAATAGAAAAAATACTGTACTGAACATGGAAGTACTGTATATAATGCAGTATATTTTACTGTTAATTTCTTATGGAGCTATTATCTACACTGTATTAGCATTGTGCTGTATTGTAAAATAGTATTTTTCCCGTTATTTTTGTATGATAATCTTTCCACTATTGCATACAAAGCTAGTGAATGATGATATAAAATTATTAAACCAAACACTGACTATGGAACTACTATACTGTACAGTACTACATACAGGTTGACAACCCTTTATCTGAAATTCCAAAAACCGAAAAGCTCTAAAAACTGATTTTTTTTTTTAACAGGGATTAGCCCACCCGGGCATAGATCACTGACCCACATTGGGGCCTGGGGGGCGAAAATGTAATAGTAATAATAATTATAATAATTATTCATAGTAAATGAAAATTGTAATAAAAAATACATCAAAATAAAATGATAATAATAATAATAATAATAATAATAATAATAATAATAATAAAATATAGTAATAAAAATAATAATACTGTAATAATAATAATACTGTGATAATAAAATAATAATAATAATAATAATAAAGAAATACAAGAATGAAAAAAAAGATCAAAAGTGATAAACACGACCTAGACCTATGAATTGTTATTATTATTATAATTTTTATTATATTTTCGCCACCCAGGCCCCAATGTGGGTCAGTGACTTGTGCCCAGGTAGGCTATAAAAAAAAAAAAAAAACATTCTGAAAACCGAAAAATTCCAAAATCCGAAATGCCTTCTGGCTCCAAGGATTTCGGATAAGGGATTGTCAACCTGTACTTATATAAAAGCCAAACATAATTCCAGCTACAGGGACCATTTTCTGTACAATACAGTTAATGTTTTAAATTCTGGCATATTTTAAACTGGTAATTTGCTGTATGCATTGTATGTTCCAGTACTGTATAATTATACTGTACACATTTAATGCACAACTAATCAAAATAATTACAGTACACTATACTGTTCCCTTTTACAATTGCTTCTTACTCCTTTTTCTGTCCTCCCAAAATTTAGGTTAAATGCGGAATGATAATCTGACTATTCATTTCTAAATCTTGAGATCAGCTTGGCCTCACACAACACTTATAAGCAGACTTGTTGAAGCTGTTTATGAAAGGTTAATTGGCCGTCCTGATTACAAATAATCATTAACAATAAAGTGGAGGATATCATCATTATTAGCAACCCCAGTTTATACTGCCTGATGACAAAACATCTGTGCCCGGGTGAGTTTAATAAAAAAGATTCCTAACTCTCCCCGAGATCCAGTGTGGTTCATTCACATAAGTATTCAATATGACAAAAACATACTGTATGAGGATATTTCTCACCACAATTGTCTCTCCAGCTTCCATACGCCCGGCAGGAAGGTACCACTTGCCGGCACAGGAGCTGATGGAAAAAAAATGAATGCAAAATCATTTATACGTAAATCACAAAATGCTAAAAAGAAAACAAAATCAGGAAACCTTACAACTACAGTACAGTACAGTATTTAAATTATGTGTAAGAAAAACATGATGAGAATGTAAAAATTCAAAACATATACTACATGCTTATTGGCAAATATTCAACAGTACTGATACAGTAAGAAAGAGAGCGAGGGAGTTTGATGCTGAACAGTACAATACTCACTGTATATAAGAAGATGGCAAAAGGATACAGGAATAGTCATGGAGTGAGAGAAACAAAAGAGGTAAGGCAGTACTCTGACCTCTTAGCTTCCTGCATCATAAGGACATGACCCTCGTCGTTGACCAGCACCGCCGCCACGATGTAACACACATTGTCCCGCAGTGTCGGTGTGTAGTCAGATGGAGTTGACGGTGCCACGCCCTTTGCCGCTAAAAAAAATTTTCGGAGATGAGAAAAGTTGGTTTGGAAAGATTTATAACACAACAGAACATATAATTGGAAAGTAGATTCACAAATATTTATGAAGAATCATTACTAACCCCAGTGCACAGCCATAGCTATCACAAAGCATATTTAGAAACATCATTCACTCAAAAAAACAAAACAAAAAATACAAAATCTATCTTGAAACATCACTAAATATACAAACATATTATGCTATGTAATTCTAATCTTATTATAGAATCATGGAAGTGTTGCCTTAAAGACTAATTCCGTCTTGAAAGTCATGTACAGTACACTGATAATGACACTTTCCTTGATAAGAAGGCGGAGATTGAAACTTTACTCAAGATACATCAACCCGGCATACTGTACTGTAGGAAGTGTTGTAGAACTGTTGTACAAGAACAAGAGAAATGACCTGGAGGAATGCGAGTTCATTATAGACGGATATGACTCCTTTACGAACCTTTCCCAAGACACTTGCAAGAAGGGTGTGGTTATTTATGCTAGGCAAGACCTTAGAGCCAGCCAGGCGAGGGTACAGGGAGAGGATGTTTTTGAAGAGTCCAAGTGGTGTAAAATTAAATTAAAGGGAGGGGACTTACTTATTGTCGGGTGTATCTACAGATCCCCAAACTGTAGTGTGTGCAGACACACACACACACACAAAACACATACAAATAAATAATAATAGGAAAATACTCTCACAAGTAATCAGAAACAAATTTATTAAAAATATGAGTCTACCCTCAAGTCCGTGCTTTATTAATAAAGCACGGACTTTAGGGTAGACTGTCATAATTTTAGTAAATGTGTTTGATTATTGTGAGAGGATTTTCCAATTATTATTTATTTGTATGTCATTGTGTGTATGTGTGTGTGTCTATACACACATGTTTACAATACAGGTACAGGAAATTACTGTCCCTAGAATGAATGGCTCCCTGTCCCAGCCGCGAAAATGCCGGCAACTTTAAAATTACCCACAGACATTCTTGGGTACATCCAGGGTGTCCTGTAAGTTACGGCTTCGAATACAGACTTATTTACATAACTCCAGTTACGGGGTAAACAAAGAGATACAGTCCTGTAAATGCTTTTGAGTATGCAGCCCCTGACCTCTCCAGTCGAATCCAGGTAAAAAAGGCACAGAAAAAAACCTAACCTAACCCAACCTAAACTAACCGAACTTAACCTAACCTACATGCATTACTATATATAAATTGTGTTGTCAATATGTAAAAGTCATGTACTGTCAGTTAATAACGGTTTTAAAATATTTGTAGTTTTATTACCTTAATTTAAATAAAATTACTTTTTTTCATGTGACTTTTTTCCGAGCCAAAATTGTGACTTTTTTTCCTGTGACTTTATTACCATTCACCCTCCAGTCATGCCAACTGCTCAAAAATTCCCCAGAGAGAGCATATCAGAAGGCTCAAGTATTCCACAATACAGTACATTCATCAAAAACTGGAAGGACAATTTTGTTGCTCACTGTACACTCCCAGTCTAGACAATTATTCCAGAAAAAAAAAAAATCATAGTTATCTACTTTCAGGACTAATAAAAAAAAACTGGTATCTCCAAATAAGCAAAGCCATTAGTTACCTGGAGCGAAACATCCAGCACATCTAAGGTACTGTACTGTACTCCCAAACTGTTAGTCCTAGAAAGAAACTGTTAAATGTTCTCCAAATTATAGTGTGTCATTAGGAAACAAGTATACGTTTGTGTATACAAAAGAAAGTCAGTGAGTGTATTTATGTACTCACAGATTGAAACTACAAGGGGTTGCTGTATGAGGCTGTGTAAATAAATTGTAGCTCAATGGACGAGTTACTTTAAGGTAAAAATATACTGTACAGTACTCAGAAACATAACTACATTATTATGTGGTACTGTACACCGGTAAATTTTCTCACGAAGAAATTTGTCAATCCAATAAGGAAACTTCAAACTTTTACACACACACGTTTTTTTTTACTGTACAGTATAAGTTATTACTGCAACATATAGGTTGGATTATTCTGCAAAGATCTGTGAATATTTCACTAAATTTCAAACTGAATATGACCTGACCTACTCTAATCTACCCTAACCTAACTTAGACACAACGTGAAATGGAAGATCTACACAGGTATTTTATAGATTGTCTGCCTCACCCTCTACTGCACCAGGAGCCATACCCTCCCCTGCAGGTCTAACGCAGCATAGGAATCAATACACCATGCTGACCACAGATCCTCCACGACGTAAGTGATCATGGAAAATGGGGGCCTCAGATAATGGGGCCAGGCACAAATAACAGTAATGGCAGAAGTAGGCAGGGTGGCCACGGGTAATGGAGGCGGGTTGGCCACGGGTAAAGGAGGCGGGTTGGCCACGGGTAAAAGCGGTTGGCACCAGGCGGTTAACCACGGTAAAAGGCAGTAAGCGGGTTAAAACCACGGCTACGGGTAAAAGCGAGGCGGTTAAGGTACCGGCAAGGAGGCAGAGGGGTTGGCCACGGATAGGGGCGGGGTACACGGACAGAGGGGCGGTGGCTACGTGGTTAGGAGGGGCGGGGTGGCGGACGGACAGAGGGGCGGGAAATACAGAGGGGCGTGGGGTGGCATGGACAGAGGGGGTGGGGGTGGCTACGGACAGAGGGGCGTGTGGGGTTACACGTGACAGAGGGGCGGGTGGCCACGGACAGAAAGTGGCTAATGACTGGAGGGGCGGGTGGCCACGGAGAGGGGCTGCGGCTACGGACAGAGGGGCGGGTTGGCTAATGGACAGAGGTGGGGCGGGGTTGGCCACGGACAGAGGGGCGGTTGGCCACGGACAGAGGCCATGGACAGAAAGGGCATGGACAGAGGGGCAAGGGCTAATGGGCAGAGGGGCGTGGGTTGGCTACGGACAGAGGGGGCGGGCAACGACAGAGGGGCGGGTTATTAATGGACAGAGGGGCGGGTTGGCCACGGACAGACGGGGTGGGACAGAGGGCGGGGTGGCACGGACAGAGGGGCGGGTTGGCCACGACAGAGGGGGCGGGGTTACACGGACAGAGGGGCGGGTTGGGCTGGCCACGGACAGAGGGGCGGCGGGCTACACGGACAGAGGGGCGTGGGTTGGCTTGAGGGGCGGGTTGGCCACGGATTAGAGGGGCGGTTGGCCACGGACAGAGGGGGCGGCACACGGACAGGAGGGGCGGGTTAACACGGACAGAGGGGGCGGGAAGGCCACCGGACAGAGGGGGGGAGCACATGGACAGAGGGGCATACATGGACAGAGGGGCGGGAGCACATGGACAGGTGGGGTGGGTTGGCTACGGACAGAGGGGTACACACGGACAGAGGGGGTTGGCTAATGACAGAGGGGTATGGGAAGGCTACAGAGGGGGGCTACGGACAGAGGGGCGTGGTTGACAGCTACGGACAGAGGGGTTGGACAGAGGTGTGGCATGACAGAGGGGCGGGGCCACGGACAGGGGTGGCAAGGGCTAATGGGATAGAGGGGCGTGGTTGGCTAATGGATAGAGGGGCGGTTGGCCACGGACAGAGGGGCGCGGTTGGCTACGGACAGAGGGGGCGGGAGCATACGACACAGACTAACACAGGAGGGGCGGGTTGGCTACGGAGGGGCGGGTTGGCTAATTGACAGAGGGTATGGTTACATGGGACAGAGGGGCGCGGCCACGGACAGAGGGGCAAGGTTACGGACAGAGGGGCGTTGGTTGGCCACGGACAGAGGGGCGGAGCACACGGACAGAGGGGGCATGACAGAGGGGCAGCACACGACAGAGGGGCGGGGTTGGCATGGACAGACGGACGGACAGAGGGGCGTGGCTGGCTACGGACAGAGGGGCGGTTGCCACGGACAGAGGGGGATAGAGGGTTGGCACATGGACAGAGGGGTGGACATTGAGGGGCGGGGGCTGGATGGAAAGGGCACACGAGGGGGGGGCACACGGACAGAGGGGCGGAAGGCCACGGACAGGGGCGGGCGGCCACGGATAGATACTACGGGACAGAGGGGCGGGTTGGCCACGACAGAGGGGCGGGCTGGTCACGGACAGAGGGGCGGGGGTTGGCCACGGACAGAGGGTAAGGCTACGACAGAGGGGCGGGAAGGGCTACGGACAGGCGGGGTTGGGTTGGCCACGTGACAGAGGGGCGGGGTTGGCCACGGACAGAGGGTGGGGCTGGGCACACGACAGAGGGGCGGCTGGCTACGGACAGAGGGGGCAGAGGCAAGGCAGAGGGGGTGGGACACAGCTGGACAGAGGGGCGGAGCACGGACAGAGGGGCGGTTGGTTGGCCACGGACAGAGGGGCGTGGCTGGCCACGGACAGAGGGGGACGTGTGGGGCTGGCTAATGACAGAGGGCGGGCTACTACTACAGAGGGGCGGGGCTGGGCCACGGACAGAGGGCGGCTGGCCACGGACAGAGGGGCGGGGCTTGACAGAGGGGGCGGGAAGGAAGCGGACAGAGGGTGGGGCAACGGACAGAGGTGGCCACGGACAGAGGGGCGGGGGTGGCTACGGACAGAGGGGGGGCAGGCTACGGGACAGAGGGGCGGGTGGCCACGGACAGAGGGCGGGGTGGACAGAGGGCGGTGGCTATGGACAGAGGGGCGGCTGGGTGGCGGAGCACGGACAGAGGGGGTGGTGGCTACGATTGAGGGGTGGGGTACACGGACAGGGCGGTGGCTACGGACAGAGGGAAGGGGTGGCTACGGACAGAGGGGCGGGCACAGGGGCGGGGTGTACACAGATTAGAAGGGGTGGCAATGATGAGGGGAGGGGGGCTAATGGACAGAGGGGCCACGGACAGAGGGGCGGGGTACGGGACAGAGGGGGCGGGGTACGGACAGGGGCGGGGTATACGGACAGAGGGGCGGGGTGGCTAAGACAGGGGCGGTGGCTGGGGGGCGGGGGGCTACGGACAGAGGGGCGGGGTAGGCACGGACAGAGGGGGTGGCCACGGGACAGAGGGGGGG